GTCTCTGTACACAGAGAGCTGTTACCCTTCCCTTCATAGTTATGACAGGTGGGGAGCAGGATCTGGGGCTTGCCCCACTCCAGGCACGGAGCAGGGTTGGGGGCTGCTCCATGTGGCTCCCAGAAGCAGTGGCATATCCCCCTCCAGCTCCTATGCATAGGGGCAGCCAGGGGGCTCTGTTCTGCTCACAGCCCCCCACCCCAAGCACCACCCCCATTGGCCAGGAACCAATGGGAGCTGCAAGGGCAGCACCTGCAGAGTCAGACGGGTGAGCAAGGAGCAGAGCTGTTGGCTGTGCCTCCACGTAGGAGCCAGAGAGGGGAACGTGCCACTGCTTCTGGGAGCTGCTTGACGTAAGTGCCGCCTACCGCCCTGCTTGTCCTCTGCACTACTCAGTCCCAGCCCAGAGCACCTCCTGCACCCCCCAGCCCCAATCCTTCTCCCACCGCCTCAGTCCCAGCACACCCTCCTACACCCCAAATCCCACGCCCCCAGCCAAAGCCCTCACCCACCCCTGCACTCCTTCCCAGCCCAGAGCCCCCTCAACTCCTAATTTCTAGTCTCATGCTGGAGCCTGCACATCAACCCCAACTTCATGAGCATTCATAGCCCACCATACAATTTCTATACCCAGATATGGCCCTCAGGCCAAAAAGTTTGCTTTCCCCCCCCCCCGCCTAGACAGTCCCGTCTGCTCTCAGAGGCTGTGCACGAGGGTAGGTGCAGCCCAGGGAGCTGGGCTGGCGCATGAAGCTTTTACAAAGGAGTGTCAGTAAAAAAGCAGCCGCCCCCTGGGCCCTGCTTTGAATGGAAACAGTCTGTTTTGAAGTGCATTGGAGCTAGTTTCCAGCCCCCCCTTATCCCCAGGCCACCTTGCCCATGTGTGTGTGGGGGGGTCATATGGCACTGGCCCAGTTCAAAAGACAGGGGAGGAGAGGGGTGCTATGGGCATGGGAACAAACCAAACAGGAACCTGCTCCTCTGGTCTGTACCCTGGAACCCAACGCCCGAGGAAGAACAAGGCTCTCTGCGCTGAGGGGTCCTGCTGGAGTCTCCCTCCCTGACAGTGGAGGTTTTTCTACCCCAGCTGCTCTTGGGCTTGGTTCTGGGCCATGCTCCGGCCAGTTACACACAGCCCATGAGGTGAGCACAAGGGTCCCACCCAGCCTTGGACTCTGGGGCCATCGGCATTGCAATAAAATGCCCTGCGGCAGCCGGGCTCTGAGGCCAGATCAGTTGCCTCTGGCTCCCAGGGCTCTGGCCACACGGCTACGGCTAGCAGCGCAGGCTGTCGGCCTTGGGCTGGAGCCCTCGGGGGGAGGGGGGGGAGCATGGAGGGGCTCAGAGCCCAAGCTCCAGCCCAAAGGTCTGCACTGCAGTTAGTTGAAGGCTGGATTTAGCCATGCCCAGCTGGGCTTCCTAACCAGTGAGGAGCTGAATTGGGGGTGGGGGTGGCTTGCTTCTCGACCGCTTCCCTTTCTCCCCAGCACAGGGGTGCGGGAGGGTTTGGCCACAACCCAAGGCTGCTGCTTACCTGGGAAGGTGGTTTTCCTTTTTAAGCTGGGGGGTGCAGCATTGGGGGCTGCACAGGGCCCTACCTCCTCTTCCACCAAGTGCAAACAGCAGCCTCGCGCTGAGCGGTGGAAAGGGCCACGCATGCAGGCTCTGGCTGGGAGCCGCCCCAGCCCCACGAGCTGCATCTCCCAAATGCTCTGGCTTTAGCCAAGCCAGACTAACCCCTGCCCCCCCCCATGAAAGCAGCTGGTTTCCCTACTAGCCCCCACTCCGCCCAGCACGGAGGGGGCGGTGTATTAACTTCGCCCCAGGGCTGCCACAATGGCCAGGCCTCTGGCACACAGGTGAGGGACTGTTCAGAGCAGGAAGGTGGAGCCCGGTACACAGCCAGGACCAGCCTGGTGTGAGCAGGGACCAACACCCGGGTGCTAGGGCTGGTAGGTACAGAGGGGAAGGGGAGGAAGCAGCTCCCTGCCCCAGTGGCTCAGACACTGCATGGCACAGGCTGTGCTCTGTACAAGACAGTGCCAGCTCCCTCCTACCCACGTGAATTTTGCCTCTGAGACCAGGCACAGTTTAACTCTCTGCTCCCCTCACTCCAGCAGTGGGTACCTTGTGCTCCCAGGCACGGCTGCTGTGTGACGAGTACGCTGGTGCCCTGCTCCCTGGGCGGATCCCAGCCTCCTGGCCGGAGTGCGGCCACCCTCGAACACAGGGCTTCTGATGCCCAACCCCCCAGCGCCAGCCCCCCCTTGCAGAGGGAGAGAAATGCTCCGATGGGTGGGAGCAGGGACAGGCACCGCCACAGCTAAGATATTAAATGCTTTATTTTCAATATTAAAAACCAGTATTTCATAACTAGACAATGCTAAATTCATATTACCAAAAAGACACGGTGGGGGGGGGACGACATTCTACCGGGGCCACTAGAACCCCACAGGGCTGGGTTAGACTGCAGGGGACCCCATGGCAACTACATTTCTCCCCTCCCCCCACAGATCTAGTACCAAAATAGCCACACACAGTATTGGTTCCGGCGGCAAAGGTCGGGTGTAGAAAAATACTATCAGCAAACAGAACCGGGAGGGGTCCAGAGAGTTTGTGCAGTTCAAATTCTTCCTTTGCCCCAGCCCCGGCTCAGCCAGTTCCTTCAAAGACTCAAAGTATCGGCCACTAACTAACCGAGCCCCCCACCCCACCCCCGACACGCTTCCGATCTCCGGTACCAGGCTCAGATTCGGGGACATGCTCTGCCATGCACCTCCCGATCAAAGAGCCGCAGAGAGAACTGGGGTCGTCCCAGAGCTGGTTTGGCATAAGGGGCCATGTGACAAGGCCGGCCGAGGGGAGATGGGCATTTGCTCGTGCTGGTAAGAGGTGGGGCTGATGACCCATAAAGGCAGGGTGAGGGGGCTGCAGGCAAATGCCCCCATCCCAGCCCTTGTAACTCCTACAACAGCTCAGGTACTGGGGCTTTCAGGGCCCAGCATGCCCTTTGGCACTTTGGAAAGAGGAAAGCAGCCTGGATCAGGCACTGAGGGGGTACGGCATTCACTCGATCCCAGGCCTGCCCTGGCCTCCAGCTCCAGGCCCCCAGCCCTTGCAACGGGGGGAAAAAACAAGGCCTGCCCGGCAGCACTGGGAGCAGGTGCGCACCCTGTGAAGGGGCCTCCCGGAGACGAGGGAGAACACTCCGGGGGCTAAAGCTGTGTGAACAAGAGCTGACCTGGCTACGAGATTCCCCCCCTCCCGCTGGGAAGAACAGAGCGGAGCAGGGGACGTTTCCCAGCCCCAGCGCTGATCAGGCAAGAATGGAGAGTTCAGAGCAGAGGGATGGCAGCCAGAGATCGCTGTGGAAGCCGGGCCAGGCTTGAGCCGTTGAGCTTCCTCCGTCCCAACCCCGAGGGGAGAGGCCCCTCAGGCCCAGGAGTCACCTTCCAATCCAGTTTAGAGACAGGAATCCCCAGCGGCCACCGGGCTTTGCTCTACACGCCAGCTCAGAGCAACTAAGGAAACTGATACTGCTAGAAACGGGACCTACCGCTCGACAGCGGCTCAGGCTACGTTCTTCAGTGCTGCCTTCGGGGCCCCCCCACCTGACTTTTAAGTGTGACCAAGTCAAAACAAATCATCTTCAACATTCACCGAGCGCGCCCCCCACCCCCCCATCCAAAAGCCTCATCCCACCTGTGCAAAGAGCTCAAGCGGCGCTGAAGGAAAAACAGGATCCTAAGGAAATGGATTAAAATAACCCCGCTGAGACTGACCAGTCTGCCAGCAACAAGCCTTTTGATCAACAGGCACCTGCATTTCCGCTGCCTGGGAATGAACTTCCCTGACCAGCAGCCACCTGTCAGCCCAGTGGCCGGGGAAGTTTCAAATGCCACATGGGGTTAAAAGTGTAACTCGGGCCAGGGTTCCCCCCCAGGGGCCGTCGGGTGGCCCACGTTAAAAGCAGGCTGCGCGGAAAGCCAGTTCAGAGGTTGCTTTGCCCTGAAGCAGCAAGAGTCTGATTGCAAAGCCTGGCTGAAACGCAAGGAAGGGAACCTCCTCCAGCAGAACTCGGGCCCCGTCTCACACCTGGCTGAGGCTGCGAGCAGCCTGGAAAGTCACAACTGCACGTAAACGGTCTTGGTGCAGGCAGGCAAACATCTGGGGCCGTTTTCATACAGAGGCGTTGGAAACCAAGTGTGTAATCGCCACGGACCGGTTTCCAGAGGAGCCGGGCACTTGCAACAACCGGTGAGACCAAGAGGCAGCTGCTCAGCACCTTGGAGCGGGCGGGGAAAGAAGAGAAGAGTCTACAGCCCCTTGTTTTGGCATCTAACTCTTAGGCACGCCTGTTTGAAGGCACTGGCCTTGGGTCACCCACGCCTGGATCAGCATGGCAGGGTCCCATCTTGGGCAAGCCGTGCCTGGTGCTGACTGACTCTGCCCTGGTCTCCTTCATCCAAAGGTGTTCCAAGAGGTGAGGGGGGGGGGGAACCCAGCTGGAGCCAGCTGTGAAGATGGAAGATGAAGGCCCCTAGAGGCAACCAGCCCCCAAACTAAAGGCTGCTAAACCAGAGCAGGAACTTGGCTCTCCTGCCCCTCAGGAGGAGGGAAAGGTGCTAAGAAAGGAGCTGGACCCTAGCGCGGCTATTTCACCTCCAGTGCCAGTGAGACGCTCTGGAGTTGTGCTATTGGTCGCAGCGATCACCCGTCCGCTACACGACGGAGCGGCTGGCACCAGCCCTCCACCCCCACCAGCTTCCCCTGTCCTCCTGGCACTTTACAGCGAGAGCCAATGGGTCCCCAGAGGGTGAACTCTGCTCCTTGAGACAAGTGGAGATCATTCCCCATGGGCCTTGCAGAGGGGTGGGGAAGGGGGCCGGGGGGGAATGCCGTCAACATCACTGAGAAATCAATCCGGTATTGAGCGAGAGGGACCCCTAGTGGCAGACGGGTGTTAAGGCGAGTCCAGCCAGCCCTCCCGGACTTACCATCTGCGGCAGGCAGGCAGTTCCGCGGAAAGTAGAAGTATTCAAAGAGCTGCTCGAGTGAGGAGTAAACATGTAAACACCACCCCCCAGGCAAAGCAATGTCCCTATCCCCCCCGTCCCAGATCAGAATCCTTCTGGGAGCTCAGCAGAGGGGGGGAGAAAAACCCAAACCAGAGACTAACTGTATAAAACCCTCCCCCCAGGCGTCCGTGTGATGCTGCGCCCCGGCAATGGGGTCCCGGGAGATGGATGCAGTCCCTTCCGGTCTAGGCCAGGCGGAAGCAGTGATTCCACCCCGCTGCCCCGGGTCCGGATTTTGCTTTGCGGGGGGCAGAGCTGTAGTGTTGCAGTGCACTGGGCCCGCTGGCGGAAGGCGGCTCGGCGGAGAGAGAGAACCTTCGAACCGGGGCAGAGCGGGGGGGGCGGCGGCGTCACGCTCCAGCTTCCCGGCCGGATGTTAAAGAGAAGAGGCGAGTCTAAGTTACGCGGAGGGTCTCTGGGGAGAAGCGGAGCCGACAGCCTGGCTCAGTCAAGTCTTGTGTCCAGGGAATCCAGGCGCGGAGACAGGCCGGCACGGTCCCTGCAGAGAGCACAGGCAAATCCATCAGTACAGCATCCCTAGCAGGATTCACCAGGGCAGTCCTGTCAATTACATTATAACCCAGGGGGGGCATCCTCCTATCCCCTGCCCACCCCCCGAGCTGCACCTGGGCTAGTAGACAGCTTTCAAGCAGTCACACCCCCCCCTCCGTTTATGATTGGGGGCGGGGGGATCCGAGAGTGTGTTGTACTATGGGGTGGCAGGGTGGAAAGATAGAAACTGCCTAGCCTGGAGCAGAGTTTAAAATCAGGCAGCGTCAAGAGGCTTTTCAAACCGCAAAACAATTGCACGAAAACCAGGCTCCTCCGAATGAAAAAAAAAAAAAAAAACAAAAGTTTCCCCAGCTCTACTCATGAAGCCACTAATGCAGGACGCTGCCCTCTGCTGGCTACAATCAGAATGGGGTCATAAGCCCTGTACTGCTGGCAGCTAATGGAGATTCTTTCGCCCCATGGCAGCAGCTCTGCTCTCAGTTTGGTTAGGTAGCAAGCAGCAGAGAGTCGTGTAACCCACCCAGCTTAGCACTTTGCCCCTCTCTAATAGTGGCTGGGCCACGGAGGCGATGAGCCTCCTCTAGGCATGGCTGATAGAGCTGGGGATTTTTAAACTCAGGCTTTAAGATTCACGGTTCAATCCCCACTGCAGACAACCCACCCCTGGGCACAGGAACAGAAAAAGGACCGTGCTGTCCCCAGGCCTACACTAGTGCAGTACAAGACTCTCCAGCTGAGCCCCGCCTTGCAGAGGTGCACAGAACCCCCCCAGAGTGCACCATCCCCCTCCCTGCAGGACCACGTGCTGCCAGTTATTAAACCTAGAAGATCCCCCGGGGGCCAGCCATTAAATTAACACGCTGCCCGGCTGCCTTTATTAAACGAGGAAATGATGCAAGACAACTGCAGCAGCTTCCGGAACGACATTAAGGCCTTAAGTGGAGCATTTCAAACCATTTCACAGCCGGGGAAACAGGGCCGAAGCTCGGCCAGGAACAGGACCCAGGAATCCGGATTCCAAGCCCCATGCTCAATCCACTAGCCTGCAGCAGCCTGGAGGGTTTAAACACGCAGGAGGGCTTCAGCCAGGGAACCTCACACCAGGGCGACATCAGCCAGCACACACAGATCCACACGGGATCTGGCTGGGTGGTGCCGGAGTGGCAGCTGGCCAGGGCCCCAGAATGCAGGGCATCTGCAGGTACCTGTCTGTGGGAGGCACTCCCCCCCCCAGAGGAGCCATTCCCCACTCTTGCGGGTGTTCGCAGAAGGCCACGGTCCTGACTGCTGTTTAGATCCAGGCTGGCTTAGGGGACAGCTGGAGAAAGTGACCCCAGATGCGGCGAGAGGCATTGAGGGGGTGTGTGTGTGTGTGAGAGAGAGACACGCCTGTGGCGGGCAGGGAAGGGAGGGCCAGCGAACAAGGAGGGGCGAGGGGTTGACTTGCGGGTGCACAGAGCTGATCGGGCGTTTCCTAACGTTCCCCATGGGACTGGAGTTCTGCCTCTCGACCCGCTCTGTCGCTGCAGCCATTTATCCAGGTCAGTCCTGCTGACCTGGGCCCCTACAGCTCCCTTAGCCGAGGTAGCTGGAGCCTCCGAGTTCCTTGCCACCGCCTTACTGCTCCCTCCAGCAGTTTGGGGCCTGCAGGGTTTTAAGGGCAGCCTCCAGCCCATCCAGAGCCCAGTGCAACCCAGCTCCATCATTCAGCTGCTGGGATCTGGCACAGCCTCGCTCTGCATGGGGGGAAGGAGTCTCCCAGCCACCACCGCCTGGCACAGGTTGGCAGACAGCTCTCCCGCTGGCAGGCCAGGCTGGGCACACAACAGAGCCATTCACCGCGCTCGCAGGGCACCAGGCTGGGGACACCGTCTCCACTCCCGTGTCAGTCGTCTGGGTAGGAGCTTCCCTCACTGCAGCGCAGACGCTGGGACCGTGCTTCCTACAGCAGGTTCCTGCGCTGGGCAGCGCCATGTGCCCAGCTAACGGGGCCCCGCACCCCGAGGCAGCACACAGCAGGCAGATCCAGCATGGCTGACTCCCAGGGGCGTCCGCACAGCCTCACCCAAAGGCAGCCAGGTGCCACAGCGAGCAGAACAAGCCAGGCACTGAGCTCCAGCGGCCCGGTGAACAGGCACCACCAGCAGAGCGGCGGCAGGGCGCGGGACAGCGTGGCACCAGGGACCACTGCACCAAGCTCTGCCTCACCCGCAGGGCAAGAAACCCCTGCCTCCCCGCACACCTCATTTAATCAGGATCCCCGGAGAGCGGGCCTCCTCCTCGCTCACATTCCTCAGGTTCCTCTCCGCTTCCTCCGAGGAGCTGGAAGACAGACACGCCGACACTGAGACGGCAGCCGGGAACTGGGCCAGAGACGCCCTCACACAGCTAAGAGCTCCTGGGCTCCGGACACCCCCCAGCCTCCCGGGGGTTAAGGGCAAGCCAAGACCATTGGCAGGGGATGCTGGTCCAATCACCCACCTGCGTGTGCCCCACCAGAACAGGACAACGCAGGCCCGCGTCCGAGGCCAGACGCGGGACGCGCCAAGCGGCTTCCCCACTCATGGAGACACCTGGGCCTGGGGACGGAAGCCAGCTCCTAGGGAAGGTGCCCGCCCCACAGAACCATCCCCGCCCCCAGTCGCTCCTGTGGACGCCCGCTGGAGAGGCCGACTGGGCAGGATCGCTGACCTGCCCGCAGAGACGAGCTCTCCGGGGCTTGGCTGCGCACTGAAGCCTCATCTTAAGGAGCGAGGCACGGCCTGAAGACAGCGAACCAGCTCAGGAGCGGGCCCACAGCCGGGGCTGATTCCAGGCCGTGCTACACACAGAGCGACCCCGGCTGGGGCAGGAGGCTGTCCAGCACGGCACAAGCCCAGCCCCATGGGGGGGATGTGCACAGACGTGCAGGGAGCCCCTGGACCGGCCTTATCTCACAGGCTCTCCGTGCGCCCGGCCAAGGGGCTCCCAGCAGAGAGGCTGCATTGTCCGTACAGCTGAGGTCTGACCGGGGTGCGGGACCCTTCTAGCTAGAGACGGGCCCTAAGGGAAGAGACCAGGGTGAAAATCCTCTGCCACCCTCAAGGCGCAGTATGGCTAGTGGGGTTTCACCACCTCTCCCCTCTAACACTGCAGAGAGCTCTGGCCTCAGGGTGGGCAGCTCTGTGCATGCACAGCGCCCCCCGGAGGAGCGCAGGTGACACCTCACCGGATTCCAGTCACAAGCAGTTTGCAGTAATCAAGTGCGCGCGTCGATCCCTAGGCACGGCCGGGCGAGGCTGCGTGCGGGGAGGGTGAACAAAGCCCCTGGAGCCTGGGAGATGGGGAACTCCTCGGTCTTGTAAACATCCCCCAGGCCACATGCTGACTATGCCCAGGGAGCAACGGCGCAGCTGATGCTGCCAGGCCCCAGAGCGGAGCTCCCCAGCCGAGAACGCTCAGGCTCGTTGCACCAGTGACTCCCCAGAGCCCGAACTTACGCCAGGAAATCTTTCACTTCCTCCACGGTGATGTCCCCGGTGGTGTCCAGGGGGCTCTCCGGGCTGCTCGGCGAGTCGGTGGGCGCTGGGGAGAAGGCAGCCTGGGGTTCCTCAGGCGTCCCTGGAGAAGAACACAGGCAGCACCGGGCTTGGTTCCAGGACACCCCTCAGGGTGCTAGTCCTGCTAGAGGGCAGGCCGGGCGCCAGCAAAGGAAGGAGCTGACGGCTCCCCCGGACAACACCCCCTGCCCTCGAAGACAGCACATCCAGAGCTGTGCCAATGACGCCTGTGCCTCTTCCTATGCCAGGAGCGTCCTGACTGCCGCACCCATGGGACGAGCCTTCCCGCGGGACCCAAACTGTCCCAGCAGCTGTTCGGGCCAGGGGCAGAGAGGTCCCCGGTCCACAAGACGGGGTGTGCTTTGGGAACCGCCTGGGGCGCTGGGGGGGCCACGCAGGACAGTCACTCTGCCAGGCTGCACTCCAGCCTCCTGGCTCTCAGCAGGGTGCCCAGGTGCCAGCCTGTCGGAGGGGCCCGCTTTGGCATAGGGCCGTTTGGCTGGAGATGCTGCGTGCACCGGAGAGGGAGAGAGATTCGCCACCCAGCAGCACTTCATCCCACCACAGGCCCGCGACAGACCCCCGTCCCCTTAGGCAGCACACGTCAAGGATTGCCAGTGCAGCTAGAGTCTACTGTCTTCCCATGGGCTTTGCCGAGGGAGGAGACCAGCAGCCTCGCAGCGACAAGCACAAGGACCCTCCTCTGCCATGATCCCCACAGATCTTAGCCGAGTCCCAGCCCCCCGTGCCTCGGTTTCCCATCTGTATCACTGGGCAGCTGTGAAGCCCAGCTCTGTCAGCACCCGCAGCACACCGAGCCCCTCGGCGGAAGGGCAGAGCGGTTCAGAGAGTCAGAGCCGTTTCCTTACGGGTGCTGTCGCCGGGGGAGCCGTTCGCCTCCGAGCCCTGCAGCACGTGAGTCCCGTTGGCCTGGGTCAGTTTCGGTGTCCCGGTGAAATTGGGGCTGACGAGCAAGAAGAGAGAGTTATTTCCGTCCCCGCCAGCTCCCAGCCTGCGCAGAGGGAAGGGCAGCGAAGGGGGGATAGGGGGCACTTTGCTGCAGGGGACCGAACTGCAGGTCACCCCCAGCTTCCGCATCACCGCACTGGACAGAGGGCAGGACCTTTGGGATCTAGGGGCAGTTACCCGGCCCCATCAGGGCAGAGGGACTCAGGGGCCATGACACAGGGCAGCAGCCAGTTTGCTTCGGCCCAACAGCGTTGGGAGGCTGCTCACGCCCTACAGCCCCAGCATTCCCCACCAGGGACACAGTTCCTGCAGCCCGGACGGCCAGCCTACCTGTGACAGGCGGTACCGCGAAGCCGGACGAGCTCCAGCGAGCACAGCGGCTCTGTGATGTTCCGGGCGCTCAGGGAGAATCGCTCGAACTCGGAAGGCGAGATCAGGTAGAAGCCTGGGGAGAGGAGGGCCAGAGAGACTCAACAGCGGGCACCCACTCGGCCAGATTAACCAGGGCGGCTTACGCTCCCCTGGCGTCTCAATGCACCAGCAGGATCTCAGTGCACCAGCTCCCCCAAGAACTGCTCCCCAAAGCTGCCCCCTTGGTGGCCCAGCTCAGCAGGGAGGAGATCAAGGCCCCACTGCACAGATGGAGAGTCCCGGCCAGACAAGAGATGAGAGGGCAGGTCCTAGGTCCCAGCCCAGCGCTCTACCCACTGTGCAGCACTGTCTGCCACACCGTGGTAGCCTGGAGCCAAGCGAATGGCGCCGAAGGAGCCCAAGCCAGGAATCCATGTCCCGGCCCCCGCCAGTCCCACCGGCGCAGTGCCCTCACCTTGCCCATGCTTGGTGAAGACGCAGGAGGCGATGCCGCTGATGTCCTCCTTGCGGATGCAGTCGTAGTGCACCTGCGGCCGCAGGCCGGGCACCGTGAAGATGTGGATGTCCCCCAGGTTGGTCAGGCACGCCAGGCAATTCTCCGTGTAGTCCTCGCACGCCAGGCTGGTGAAGCTCACCAGCGCCACCTTCCGCACCCGGCAGCCCTCGTGGGCCGTCAGCTTGAACTTGGTCTTGGCACTGACTTTTGGCAGCGTGAACACCTGGGTCAAGGCAGGGAGCAAGCCGGCTGGAGAGCGGAGACCTGGTCCTGCCTCCCCACTCCACTGCTATGGGACAAGGGACCCATGTTGTCCATGGCTACAAGCTCCATAGAGGCTCCATCCGCAGGCCGGCTGAGTCTTACGGGCAAGGATCAAGGCCTTCTGGTGTAGCAGGGCTCTAGCCAGCAGCCATGGCAGACTCATGCAGCCATGTCCACACCCTTCACTAGCCCACAGCCACCAGCCTAGAAAGCCCACGGCTGGCTTAAAGGGATCGTTCTCCCAGGGTGGGAGCCGCTGCCCTGCTGGGTTAGGGAGCGTGTTCCCGAGAGCCAGGCCCAGCTCCAAGGGAGATGTGGTCTGTGGAAAGGCACAGGCCCTGGACACCCACTTTTTGAGAGCGGAAATGCCCTGCACCCAAGCCGGGGCATTTCATCTCTAAAGAAATCACAGCAGAGACCCTGGGTCCTGCCACAACGTGGTTCCACCCAAGCCAGAATTTGCCGTGTCCGCCCCCCTGCCAGACACCCCCATCCCTCGGGAATGGGAACGTCCCCGCCGGCATGAGGCAGCGTCTCCCGCTACCTACGCCACCTGGGTCAGGGTAACGGCGGCCAAAGGCAGCAACTCGGCAGCGTGAGACACAGCCATCGGCCCCTCCCCTCTCTTACCTTGAACTGCTCCTCCGAGGCGATGAGCACAGAATGGCTGCCCTGCATGTCAGGGGCTTTGGCCAGGTCCCGGGACACCTCGTAGGGCTCCGGGAGAGGGTTCCCTCGCCCGTCCAGGACCGCGATCGACACCACCGGCGCCCTGTGCATCAGCTGGATCTCCTTGCCCAGTACGGCTTCCACCGAGCGCTCCGAGAACTTCTCCTGGGACGGGACCTCCAGGGCGTAGGCGAACACGGAGCCCGAGTTGGTCCCAGCCCACATGGTGGGCCCGTGGTGGGCGGCTGAGGAGCCGGGGGAAAGCAGCAGCATTAGCAGGGCTGCGCAGAGGTTCTGGGGGGGCCCGGCCCCCCCCAAAAGACAGACCACTGAGGGGTGGCCCCAGGGCGAGGAAGTATTGGAGTCACCCCACAGCAGCGTTTTCTATCCCACGGGGCTGGGCCCAGATCCCCATTCTGGACATTGCAATCAGGCATATGGGGTCACAGCGCCACTCGGGTTTGTGCCGGGCCACTCTGTTTGGAGGCCCTCGCAAATGGGGGCCTCTGGGGCCAACTGCCTCCCCCCAGGCAGCCCTGAGTATTAGCACAGCATCAACCCACACAGAGCCCCAGAGGCAACCCAAGTAAATCGGCACTTTCTGAGCTTGGGGTCTTTAGCACTGGCTAGTCTACTGCCCAAAGGAAGAACTGCATAAGGCAGTGCTAGCCTGGGGAACTCCCTGCCACATGGTTTTACTGAAGTAAGCAGGGTTTAAAGATTAGACCTTTCTATGGAGTAGAAACTCTCGGCAGCGCTACTAGACAGCATAGCTAGAAACTATATTAATCCTCATGCCTCAGGGCACCAGGTGAGCACCAGACGAGGTCAGGAAGAAACTGCCCCTGCTTCTCAGTACAGGGCTGTACCAGCTGGGGATCAGGGGTTAACAACGCCTGCCTCTTGGGCAGCTTGTATTCAGGGCAGGTGCAGACATGGGGTCCGGCCAGGGGCGCTGTAGGTCCAGCCCAGCACGGGATCCCCTCCCTGCCTGCACAGTCGTATTCCCTCTCAGAGCTGCGGCCAGGCCTTACCGTCTCGGAGGAAGGTATCGGCGAAGTACAGGCAGCGCACCACCCCCGAGAGCGAGTCGTCGGCTGACCGGGGCTCGATCCGCCGCTGCACGGGGGTCATCTCCACATCAGTGGGGCCGGCCTGCTCGGCCAGCTGGGCATTGGCTTCCTGCACCTGGGGGACGAGACACCAGTCCTGTGAACAGCCTGGATTCCAGGGGTCAACTTCTTCCCTCCCTCAGCTAGGGAGCAGCCCCCCAGGACAGCCCCTCCTGGGGTCCCTGAGAGAGAGCAGGGACCCTTCAGGTGTTGGGAGTTAGAGCTCAGCTATGAGGGAGGGCACTAGTCAGAAATATGGGAGGTTCAATTCTCTCCTCTGCCAGACTTCCTGTGGGAACTTGGGCAGGTCACTTAGCCGTTCCCGGCCTCAGTTTCCCTTTGCCCAGAAGACGTGTGTCAAAGAAAAGCAGGAGCAGGGATTCTGCTTGGTTTAGACATCAGAAACTCAGGCCCCACCGGCCCTGGGGGACTCTACTGAGTGGAGGCGGCTCGGAAGCAGCTGCAAGGGACGGGGAAGGGGCAATTTTGTTTTTAAACGGTCTGACGAACCCCCTGCTCCGGTCACATCTCACTCCAGTGCGTCGAACGCACGCGGGACAAAGGATGTCCGTGTTAAAGAGCCAACACGCCGCCCAGGCAGTCCAGGTGCGAGAGGTCACAACCCCCCACCCCAGGGGGCAGGCTCAGGATGAGACGGTCCCCCAGCGTGCCCCGCCCCGCGGTTACCTTGCTGGAGGAGCTGTTGGCACCAACTCTCTTCTTGCCGGAGACTCGGCTTTTGCGGATCCTGCGGAAGGACTGGCGCAGGGACTTCTTCAGCGACTTCACTCGGGAGAGGGGCCCCTCCATGGCCAGGGAGTCGTTGGGGTGGAGCGTGCACCTGGGGCGGCACAAACAGCTGCTCAGCGCCAGCCTGGGGGGCAGGAGCGGGGACCCTCCAGGATTTGCCGTGTTCACAGAGGGGAGACTCGTCCCCAGCCTTCTCCCCAACCGTGCCTATGCCTAGCTCCGCCCTGGCGGCCCGGCAGGGCCGCCCAGGTGGCCCCCCCCCCCCCATGTCACTTGGAACAGGCGGTTATCAGGTAACCCACAAACACAGGGGACTGGGACTAGACCCCTCCCACCTCAGCAAGGCCCCTCTGCGGGCTGCAGCCACCAGAGGGCGCCTCTCAGCCACCCCATGACAGTAGGATCAGGCGTCCCAGGGGAGCCCCTTTCATCCCAAAGCACTCCATGACGTGGCTGAGCGCCAAGCAGCCTGGGTTCAGCTAGGACACTGTGTCTAGAACATGCTCCGCAACCGTTCGAGCAGCCAAGCCAGTCAGGACGCCCAGGTCGGCATCTGCTGCCCTCCAATCAAGGAACTGCTCCATCGAGGGACCCTCTTCCTGGCCACGCTCCCACAACACGTCCCACTGCCCCATGCGGCACTCTGCCCCCTGGCTGCAGCAGGAGAAGGAACGGCCCTCCCAGTGCCGTCTGGAGAGGTTCCCGACGCAAGGATGGAGCAGCTGCTGCCGGGTAGGGGAGATGGACAGCTCTTCCCTGGGCAGGGACAACGGGGGGCATGGGCCCTTCTGCAGAGTCACCCATTCCCCCCCCTAAGCAAGCCCAGGCAGCCACACCTGCTCTGTGTGAGGCCGGAGATCGGCAGCAGAAGGGGGGTGAAACCCCCGGGGCGTCTGCTGGTCTGTTCCAAGCCTCCTCAGCACAGTAACGGGGTTGGGAGATTCCTCGGCCACAGCCTCGAGTCAGGATACCTGGGCTCCCTATTGGCAAGCAGGGACACTGCTCGCCTACCCAACCCCCCTTCATTCCGCAGCAGCTGTAAGGAGCCCGGAATGGCTCCGAAGGCAGGAGATCGGTACGTGCCGAGCACTGGGCTACTGCTGGGGACCACCGGCGGCACATGGACAAGCCAGCAGGAGGCCGCAGCATTGCACGGGACCGTCTGCTGGCAAGCTACAGCACCTGCTTCTCCGAGCCGAGCCCCCCTAGGACTTAGCTGCACATGGGAAAGGGATCAGCCACACAACATTTAAACCTCCCTCCGTCCCACTCATGGGTCACCGGGCCCCCCGCCAGCTCATTATCTCAGCTTCTCCCAGCACAGCACCGGGCTGTGGCCACGACCCACAGAATCCTTGGCACTGCTCCTTCCAGCAGGGGGTAGAGGGCTGCTGTGGGGCAGGACAGTGCCCCTTCCCGAGCACAGGGGCGAGAGGAGCCGAACTCCCTAGAGCCCGGCCCTGCCCGTCTGCCAGGGGAAGGATCAATAGCAACAGGGTTTGTTGTGCTCGTTCACCGCTCAGCTCCGCATCCCAGTGCCAGCGCCGAGCTCCGTGGCTGGAGCCGGTCCCCAGGGAGGAGGGAGGGCAGTTACCTGGCCAGCACCGCGTTGCGTCGGTAATAGTCGAAGAGCCCGAAGCCGTGGCTGGTGCCGAAGGCCACCAGGTTCCACTCGGAGTGCAGCGTGACGGCGGTGACGGCGGCCGGCGGCATGCACTGCACCAGCACGCTGGGCTGGAAGCCTGGGCTGAAGGTGATGGAGCCATTCTTGGGGGTGAGCCGGTCGTGCCCCTTCCAGGTGAAGCCCTCCCGGTCCTGCAGCAGGTCCACCATGGCCACACTGATCATGTGATTCGACTTCTCGTCACTCAGCTCCATGACGAGCACCTGGCGAGAGGCAGACGGGGCACTGAGGGCCAGTTCCACCGAGGCATCTCCACACTACTGGTGCATGCAGCTCGGGGGAGAGCTCCTGGACTCCAGCTGGGAGCCTGGTGCCCATGACGGCAAGGCACCCCCAGCACTGGGACTGGTAGATAAGTGCAGGCTCCAGGCGCTAACAAAGCACCCCTCAGCCGCAGCGCCCGCCGTTATCCCAGGGCCGACGCCCGCCCCGGCGCCAATGCTCAGTGCCCCCGCCCTCCCTACCCAGTCCTGCCAAAGCCAGATGGGGGTTGCAATGAGGGCAGAGGTTCAAGCCATGGAGTCTCATGTGACAGCTGGGCCGGGGGAACCTCTCCTCTAGGAAGCCACTGGTACATTCCTGCCGCCATCAGCGCTGGCTGGCCAGTGGGGCAGCGCGACGGCCCAGGGGCAGCTGGTCACGAACAAGGGGGTTTATCCCTGCTCGGACTGACGCCTTGCAGCTGGATGGCTCCCCAGAAGCAGGAGACAGAGCAGACGTTCCACAGCTGATTGGAAACGTACGAAGCTTCCCCAGCCAAGTCAAACCCACCCCCAGCAAGGCTGCCAAGCCCTGGGGTAGATCCCACCAGCCAGGGGCTGCTGCCCTTCATCCTACAGGCCAGGTCACTGGGACGGCTGGGAAACACGCGCTGGCATCAGCTCTCCAGCCCCTTTTAAGAGGCAGAGCGAGAGCATGGTCTGAGAATCCCACCCTCCCGACCAAATACTTGGGCTCTGCCCCTGGCCCCCACACTCCCTTCCCCCTCCCCAACTTTGCCTGTAAGGAAAACCCGGCAACAGAACAGGGCTGGCTGGCTGTTCCCTTGGAGCGTCACCCCCCCCGCCCCACAGTCACCCTACCTGCCCGGCAGTCCCAGCCACCACGATCCGGGCCGTGTATTTACACAGCGCAATCTTCTGGATGCCCAGCCGGGGGTCGTCGCTGTACGGATCAAAGCAGCCAACCTGGACGATGGAGACAGGGGGTCAGGGGCGCGAGAGGGCAGGACACAGCTTGCGTTCGGGGCTCCGGCAAGCCATTGCACACACCGACTCCCCCCAGTGTGGGAACCCCCCTCTGCCCCCTCCCTTTAATGGTCTCAGATCCTACCTTAACCCCCTGCCAGGACTGGCCCTCGCCAGGGGCTCCTGATCTGTGACACTGGGCTGCATTGTTAGACAGCTCCCTTCTATTTGCATTAGAGACGGGCCTGGACAGACACCCCAGGACTGATGCTCCCCACACAGCCTGCCCTGGCCCTGCTCAGAAGGAGAGAGCAGTTTATGGCCTACGGCCTGGCCTCTCTCCAGAGGCAGCCAAAGGGTCCCCTGGGGTGGGTGATGTGCAGAGCTAGTCTGGCTCTCTGGGCGCCCCCATCAGCTGGCAGCATTTTGTCACCCACTACAGCCCCGGGCTGGCAGCGAGCCACCCTGCACGGGGGAGCTTATCCGATCCATGGGCATCCCGGGAATCCTCAGGCACAGGGACACGCCTGGAGAGGCCCAATGGCTCCTGTGGAGGCCCCACAGGGAGTTGCCAGGATGAGGACGGGCCAAGGGCGGTACCTTGCGGAAGGGAGGCCACTCCTCCTCGCTGGCCGGGTTGAGGCAGTCGCTGTGCTCGCAGTCCGTCTGGAAGATGTTGGCCGTGCCCAGTTTGTACAGCGGCCGCAGCGACACCCCCGAGGCGTCCCAGAAGCGGACCGTGCCGTCCTCGTGCCTGGGGAAGGGAGAGGGAGAGACGTGCCGCTCGGTGAGGAGAAGCTGTGTCTGTCCCTTGCCCGGGGCCCTGACTCCCCACGTACGGCCAGCTAAGCTGCTCCATCCAGGCCAGCCCGTAGCCTGCCCACTTCTGCAAGGGAGAGGCAGAAGAGGGGAACAGACTCTCCATTGCCTCTGGTAGCGTGGAACTAGTTTTGACTCCTGTCCAGTGGCTCTGCCGCTCCAGTGCCATTGCATGCCACCTCCCCACCCCGCAGCCATCAGGGCTGATCTCCGCGTGCTCGGATTGCGGGCCCTGCCACCTCCCCACCCCGCAGCCATCAGGGCCGATCTCCGCGTGCTCGGATTGCGGTCCCTCCTCCCTCCCCCAGCACGGAAGCTTAGGGAGCCGGCGGGAATGAGCTCAGGGGACCAGCATTCACGCCCAGCTGGCTCAGGAGGGTGGCCAGGTGAGGCAGAGATCTCCTTGGTCCACAGCATGTCTGGATTCTGGACTAGTCACTGGGCCATGGACCAGGCGACCTGCCGCAGTGGTGATGCCCTCAGGACGGAGCCGTCACAGAGCTGGACGGCTCCATCCGGCAGGGGTCAGGAGGGAGGGATGTGGCCGCACAGCCGGCCCCTACTCAGCTTGGCTTAAGCCAGCAGCGCCTCGGTAGCAGTAGACCGTCCCACGACGGCGAAGGGAAGCAGTTCCTCGGCAACAACGGGCCAAGCCACCCAAAAACTCCGTACTTCACAACGGCTCGAGGTGAGCAACCACAAGGCATAAACACAGGTTGCTAAGCCCTGGGAAGAGCGAGGGGAGTTCTGCGGTCAGCTGCCCACGTCACAGCCCCTGGCTGCTTCCGGTTCTGCGCTCCGGGCACAGCACAGCGATGGGAGCCAGCTCCCCGAGGCAGCCCCTGAGCACACCAGCCGCCACTACCCAGGCGTGGCTCCTCTGTAACTTATCAGCCCCCCCCAGCCTGCCCCATCTAGCAGCAGGCAGAGCAGCTCGAGTGCTGTCATCCGCACCGGATCAGGTCTCTGGCCAGGGCTGCCCCAGGAAACGGGCCAGAAGTAACTGAGCCACCCAGGAGCCCCCAGGCAGGCGTGCGTCTCAGCGGGACAGCAGGCTCCGCCCAGCATGACGACGTTCGTCTCGAATTTTCCTTCGCCCCCACCTCCCCCGCTCCAGCCTGAACATCTGCGGCCGCTAACAAGCCCTGCCTGCGTGTTCGGAGGAGCCGGTGCAGCGCTCAGCCAGCGACGCCTCTGGCAACACGTCGCCAACTCGGAGCCAAGATAAAACAACCACCAAGAGCGAGGAGAAGGAAAAACAAACAGAGTGACACATCCTTACCAGGCTCAACAGGGAGAACAGTTAGCAGCCCACCCAACAACTGAGGAGGGGCTCCCCCCACCTCTCCCCTGGCATCCGTCCACCCCCACACCTCTCGCCCGGCCTCCTGGCGTTACACTCCTCTTCCCTTCCCCACTCTGGAGAAGCAACATCCCCCACCCTGCAATTCAGCAGCATCGAACCCAGGTCTCCCAGACCCCTGCTCTAGTCACGACACACCACTACCCCTCCTGCAGTGGCAGAGAACGCCCTTCAGGACAGACTTTGGCCCTGACTTACAGTCAGCCAGGAAGAGGCCCCCTCGCCCCCCAGCCCCCCAAGATGCGGCTTTCTCCGCTGGAGGAGAGCTGGCAGAATCACTCGCTGGCTGCCTCTAGGGCATGATGCAAGCCCCAGCCATTCCAGCACGTTTTAGCCTCGCCCATTGTACGTCCCTGCCCCAGTCCCTTCGCTGCCCCTACTGGGCCCTCTATTGGCACTGGCCAGCTGGGGAAAAGATTAGCCAGTCGAACGGGTGGTGGCCGAGCCGTACTTACCCCGTGAGAAGAAGGCCTCTCTGGGTGGGTTCTTGGGCTAAGTTTTTCCCTCCGCTGATCGGCCAGTTCTAGAAGACAGATCCCACCCACGCAGGGTGGGGGGAACATTAAGCAACAGCTCATTCCACAGGCCCATTGGGGCCTCACCCACGTGCACCCCTCCCGCCCTGCTGCTGGCATCCAAGCAAATCGAGATGGGTTTGTGCAGCCCAACTGGACGCTGCTCGCCAAGCCAGGAGGTCAGCGTGACAACTCCCCACAGGGGCTCCAAGTGTTGTCAGGCTCATTGTGCCAGGCGCTGTATGGACCCCACCCACCTCCTGGCAAGACCCAGTTGCAGCTCAGTAGCTTTTCTCCAGCAGGGGGCGTTCCCTTACCACAGAAGAATGCCGGGGGCTCTGCTGCTCTCCAGCGCTGATGATTCGCTCCCACAGCTTCAGGGGGACGTTGGAGATATGATAGGAGCAGGTGATGGCGGAGGAATGGAGGGGCGCCAGGTAGGGGGCAGGAACCGTAGGCCAGCCGGGCGTCTTCAGGTCGAAGACCACCAGCTCCTCTTCCACCAGGACCACCAGGGCACTTGGGTTATCGAACTCTAGAAGGCAGAGCAGTGAGAGGTCAGCCGCCAGGCGTCAGGCTGGCGGGGAGACCGAGACGCGCTTGGTTCTGAAGAACGGGCCGCCTACCCTCCTCCGGCTCCGTGTGGTGCACCGTGAAGAAGTCGATCACACGCGACGTGAAGTCCAGGGTGACCAGGCTCTGGCCCTGCAAGATGCTGACGCAGTGCCGGTCCCCGTAGCTGGCACGGGGCATGCCCCCGCTGAAGATGATGAAGTGATTTCTGCAGGCAGGGGAGAAGTAGCTGGCTATCGGCAAGTTTGCTGCTAGAATTTCCCTCCACCCCACGGGCTGGGGCTTGAGACCTCACAGGCCCCACTGAAATGTGATGGGAGTGGGGTGCCCAATCCCCTCAGGAAATCCCCAGCCAGACCCACCTCTGAGGACAATAACCCAAGGCTCTATGGGCCTGGCAGGACACCACTGGCAGGGTAGCAGGGCGCCTCGGCCAGCCCCGGGACACCAACGCACTCCGTTCTCCCAACAGCTCGTGTGACGCCCAAACATTAGCTGCCTGCGTGGTACAAAGGGCGTCGCCCCCAGGGAGAGTTTTGCTTGAAGGTGTTTGCTGGAGGCATTTTGAATGGGGAGCTGTGCCCGGGAGGGCATGGGTCAGGCACCCTGTGTCCCTAGAAGGGGCCATTCAGAGAAAGGACGACGCTGGGGTTGGGGCACTAACCTTGGCACAGGGAGAGACGGGTTTAATTCCCTGCTCTACCCCAGGCTTCCTGTGCCATCTTGGGCAAGTCACTTGGTCTCTGGGACTCAGTCGACTAGCTGTACAATGGGGACATCAGCCCTGCCCTGCCTCCCAGGAATGAGGGGGACCCCAGATGAAAGAGCGTGAGGCCCTCAGACGTTATGGTGATGGGGCCACAAGCAGAGAGATTGCATAAAGCTAACACGCCCCCGCTTCCCCCAGAGGAAGTCATTTACCCCAAGCCCAGAGCCATTCCCCATACAAGCTTCCTACTAGTGAAGGCACCACTCATGCGCTACTCCCCCCACTCTGTAGAGCGGCTTGGCCAGTTCTGCCAAGACGCCCTACATGCCCCCCGCCCTCCACACAGGCTGGGAGGAGCTATATGAATGCAGCAGATGCAGGACACGGGCCATGCTGCCCCGAGGAAGAGGCAGAGCACAGAGGCTGGTCAAATGGACGTTTCTCCAGAGAGAGAGAACACGCCTGGATTAACGGAGACACTATGAACGGAACAACGATGCTCGCTCTAGGTCTGCGGTCCCTACCCATATCCCTCCCCCGCCCACTCAGGAAGGCTGAGATGCCGGCATTGTACACGCCATGGCTACCTGGGCTGGATGTACAGTTTATGTGGATTTGGGTTCAAGACAGTCGGGGGAGAGGGATAGCTCAGTGGTTTGGCCTGCTAAACCCAGAGTTGTGAGTTCAATCCTTGAGGGGGTCACTTAGGGATCCAGGGCAAAATCAGTACTTGGTCCTGCTAGTGAAGGCAGGGGGCTGGACTCAATGACCTTTCAAGGTCCCTTCCAGTTCTAGGAGATAGGATATCTCCATTAATTTATTTATTTTTATTTATAATTTATTTAGGAGCTGGACTTCCCTGCGTTGGAGTCCAGGGTTTTTAATCCCCTCGGCAAAACTTCAGACCCAGGTTTGGATCCCATGAGCTCCCAGAGCTCCGGCTTGCTTAGATCTGGGCTTTGGTTTAGGGCCCCCCGGCTCCACCTTTCAAAACCTTCCCCCTATTTTGGTCCTAACCCTCGAGGCCTCATCACAGCCAAGCAGCCTGTCCCTGACCGGAGTGACGGCAGCTGAACTACACCAGTAGCTTCCCCAGGGCCATGTGCTCTACGTGCTGGCCACTAACTTCCGCTCCTGGGCAGCGCTCCCATTACAGGGGACTTGGGTGGACTGAGCCCCCCTTCCTACTTTTAGGGGCTACCCCACTTCGGTCTTATTCAAGGGCGCCAGGGGGCCACGTTTTAGCTAGTTCACAAGTTTACTTGCCAGCGCTGAAAATGTGATTTGCCAGGTAGTGTCAGTTGTATTAAAGAGTGTTTAAAACGGGAACTTGGGCGCCTGTCCTGAAAATAAAGTCTCCGGCTTCCATTAAAGGGGCCCTCTAGTCGTCCCCCGCCCCCCACATTAATTCGAGCACCCCTCCGCAGCCTGGTGGGACAGCCCCCCACGGACACAGCCCTTTGCTGCAGGAGCTGTGGCAGAGACGAGCACCGCGATCAGAACCAAGGGCCACCTCCCCAGCGGTCTGACAACATTCGCCTGCAGGGGACATACCCAGAGTCACAGGTTCTCCGCAGGATTTTGTTGATGGCTTTACAGGGAAACGGACCTGGAATGAAGAAGGAGCCGCCACATTAAAGCCAGCCTCCCTGCTCAACACCAGCTCCTAGGAGGGGGCTCTGTCTTAGCCCCGGTAAATCAACCCACTCCCATTTCTTTGTACCACAGCAACTCCTCCAGCAGGCTTAAGAGTACATTTTCTCTCCTATCCACCTCAGCTGGAGCCCGGTTTAAGCTCCCAGATATTCCCTTCTGTATCAAGATAGATGCTCAGCACAGCACTCCGTGCTGACATACACAGCATCTGTCCGTCCCCGTCCCCCCCCCATTAGAGCAGCTTTCCCGGCCCGACTTGGACAAAGGACACAACCGTCACGAGCTGCTCTGGGCTAGTCTTCAATGTAGCATTAAATCGAAAGTTCCCAGTGATTCCTGAACAGCACTTCCAGCAGCCTCTACATCACCCTTCCCTAGCCTGCTAGAGTCCGCAAGGGATCCAAACTCGGGCCTCCCTCCCCACCTGCACGCCACGCAGACGTGGCAGGGTTCTGCCCACAGAAGGAGCTTCTGGGGAAACACCCCACTAGCAGCAAGTCGCTGATCCGGGCTTGGTGATGCAAGCTTGCTCCATCCATCCACGTAACGGGGCAACGGTCACCTCCAGAAGGAAGCTAGAGAGCCGAGTCATCCTAAGTGACTCCATCTTGCACCTCTTGCACCACATATGAAGCAATAGGTTTAGCCTCATGTTCCCATCTCCAAGGGCCCAGAGGGGAGCCTCCATTGCCCTCTGTAGGTGGGCTCTTTTGGGGAACTCAACGCTTCTGGGGTCCTCAAGGTGTAGAAGATGTAGCTATAGGATCCACTGACGTCAGAGCCCTAGCAGCTAAGACAACATTTGCTGACAAGCCAGGTCTGCAGCAGTTGTACGACACTTACAGTGTCCCTCTCCCAAGCCCTAGGCCATCAGTGGTCAGCTTCCCAGAGCACCCTGTCGAGAACAGCACGACTGACCACATGAGTTAATGGCTCAGTCGAGGCTCCTTGTGGCCCCATATCTCCCTCCCCCTCCAATAAGGCGTTGGGGGCAAGCATGAAGTCAGAAGCGGTGTAATGACAAACCCTATTAGAAGGTAAAACGGCGCTTGGGGCCGTCGCGAGAAGGCAGAGGAACAAGGCGGGTGGGTCATGAGGCAAAGCAAACTCACCATAGGGGATAGTTGACATGAGTGGCTGCAGAGTCTTATGGCAGCTACTGTTGATGGACCACACCATGTAACCTCCATCGCTGTGCGAACTCACCACCGTCCTGCCGCTCCGTTCCCAGCCAAGGCTCTCCAGCTGCTGCAAGGAACAGATGTGGCCAATAAACCCAAGATGGAGAGAGACAGGGGGCTACAGGAGGCAGCTGTGCCGTCTCGTCCCCTCTATGCATACGCAGCCTGGGCAGAATCTGGTTTTGCCACAGGGACATGGGGAGCAAGGCCCAGCACTTCAGAGTGGAGATGGAAGAGGAGGTCAGCAATGGAGGTTTGGGGACCACTGCAATATCACGGGTGCAGCTGTAAGTTAGAAGAGTTAAGTCAAATGCATCAAGTTCAGTTTGGCCACAGGTCATTGCCTGCGAACCCTCCTGTCTCCCTGACCCCGAAAGGAGGGAGCCTGGTTAAGCGTAGCCTCGTTGACGAGGCCAGCAGCATTCTTCGAACTCCAAGCCATCAGCTTCCAGCAGGCGAGCCACCAGGTATGGCAGAGCGTGGGAAGCTGGCTCAGAGGGAAGCCACAGAAACTCATCTAGCGCAGATGGCTTGGCCAAAGCTCCCGTGTTCCGTGCTAAGTGGGACACCCACCGGCCAGAGCGCGCGGTGTTCTCGGCTCTCCCATGAAACCCCATTCAAGGTACCTGATTGCCCAGGAAGAGGTGGTGGACATTTCTGGTGCTCTGGTCCCACACGATCGCCAGCCCCCTGCTGTAGCCAATCAGGATCTTGGAGAAGTCTTGAGGGTGTTCCTGCAGCGACTCCACTGGCCCAAGAGCCTTCCCGCAGCGGTAGTCGTCTGGCACGCTAGCATGGAAGCAGAGGGGTTGGGAACACCAGGCTGGTTAACAGCCATGCAGCCTAGTCCCTTGCTTTCTCCTCGCTAATCCCTCCCCCGCGCTGCGGGCGAGACAGCGCAGCCCAGCTGTTCCGTAATGGGCAGGAGGAAGATGGTCCTCTCTCAGCCCTGGATCAGGATATTTACGTCCCCGACAGCCAGTGAGGACACAGACGGATCAGCCAGGGCAGCCTCGTCACACAGGGCACAGACTCAGTAGCTCATCCCTCCAATGGGCCAGGAGGAACGCAAGCACAGACAAGCGTGTTAGGGAGCCCCTTGAATCAAGGGACTGGCTTGAAACTGAATTTGAACTTCATTGATCATCTGTGCTGCACAAGGATACACCCAGCACTGCCAGTCCCGAGTCCTGCCCCCGCGGGACTAGGCTCCATGTAAGACCTGGGATGGATTCTCTGGTGGCAGTACCCGCTTTGGTCTTTCCCAAGTCCTGCTCGGGAATCTGGGAGAGGATAGGGTATTGTAAAGGTGGAGAGGTACTAGATCACCACTACGTGACCTACGTAGATGCTACCCATCAGTCATGGGGCTGCGGCATCTCCAGAAACATCTCAGAGGGAGCAGCCTCCAGGCATCCCAGATCCACCTGAAGAAGCTGCTCAACACAGCCCCCTGAAGAGCTGCAGACACTCTACACTTGCCCGGCAGCCTCCCAGCTTTACAGCAAACATTTAACAGGTGCAGCCGCAGCCAGTGCAACCCTGGGTCGGACGGCTCTTTCCACAGACCCCTGCCAGCAACCCACCCCATCTGCCGTGGACCTTGGTGCCCACAACCATGAGCTGATCTCCACTGGCACCAGTTCCCGGAGCTCCCCAGGCCAGCTCACCTCTGCATGATCTCCTCTTGATACAGGGTTTTATCCTCCAGCAGCGTTAAGCCAGAGAGCTCCAGGAAGTACACGCCACCCCCTTCTGTGCCCAGGCAGGCCACATCGCAGGCAGATTTCAGCAGGATCACCGTCACCCGGGTAATGCTGGGAGGAGAGCTACCAGGAAGACAAGATTCAGACAGTGAGAGCCACGCCGGTTTACAGGCTGGATGTTTACATGCAAAGTTGCAATGGCTCATTTTGAGAGGACTTCCCGTTCCCTCCAGGAGATGCACAGGCTGCACCATGGGTCAAAGAGGAGCATGGGCTGGTTTCCTCCGGCCAATATTGGGTCGGCAAAAGTCACTCCCTTTTATGGACCCCCAGGGTACGAGACACCAGAGGGGCCTGAAGGAGGAGCAAACTGGTTAGAAGGAGAAGCTTGTCCACAAGAATCTACCAAGCAGAGCCACGTCCGTGGGCCCAAGCCTAGAAATGCTGAGCTCCCTCAACTCCTACTAACTTTGGCTTCAGTTCCTGCCATCAGCACATCCTCCTATGATCCAGACCTGCCCCAGCTACCAGGGCCCAGCAAGAAGGTAACAGACCCTAGATTGTGCGTAGACATTCCACTGCAGTGGAGATGGACGGTGATGCACAGGAGTCTGAGGAAACGAAGCCAGGGAGACCTCGTACCTATGGGTTTATAACCGGCTTTAGACCCAATGTGGAGTATTGTAAGCCAAAGAGAAGCAAGCAGCTCTGTCTATACACGATTATTAAGCGGTTTAGGACAGGTAAGAGAGACACCCGGGAGAGGATCGCTACAGCCCCGGACAGCAATCGCTTGTCACTTAGATTCTAGCTTGCGCACTCTTTAAGCTCCTGTGCATGATGAAAGGAGAAGCAGATGAAGCTTCCCCGCTGTGCCAGGCTGAGAACCGCCTGTCAAGCCGGCAGAGGCAACAAGGAGGGGAAGGAGTCACGCAACCCAGCAAAAGCAGCCACCACAGGGAGGCATTGGAGGGTCAAACAGAATCTCAGCGTTGGGGCAATTCTCGCCGGGTGCCTGCCATGCCCGGCCCCCAGCAGCCTCTGGAGTAAGTCAGAAGGCGCAGTTCTCCCCAGCCCACCCTCAATCATCGACGCTTTGCCAAGCAGCCTCTTGCTCTCTATTAACACAAGCCCTGCATGGGCCTGAGGGTATTTTAAAAAGGGGGGTTGGTCTTTGGCTTCTAGCACTGGGCCCGATTTTAAGAGGGGAATTCAATGCACAGCAGCTGCGGCAGTGGCATGCAGAGAGAGATTCCAGCAATAAAATGACACGCTCCAACGGAGGGCGTGGGTCTGCATGTCGGTTAGTCCTGAAGACCCCTCCTCTGCCATCAACAGGATTGCTCTGGGCCCTCGTGAATGAGAGCTGCTGGATGCAGCGCCAACGCAGGGGCAGCAGGGGGCAGCGTTGCCTAGCATGGAAGGAAGCCAATAGGCGAGTCTAGCCAAGCCCCATCAGTATCTGGGCTGACACAGTTGTTTATTGGGGATTTGGCATGCCATGTGGTGTGGAATCCCCGCCTCCCTCAGAGGTGCCGGCTCTCCGAGGGAGCCTCCACAGCAGCACATGGCCGTCAGGGATGTCCCCTACCCCTGGCCTAGCGCTCAAGCGGGGCTTGGGACTTCCTTAACCTCGTTCAGTCTCAGATGTTGCCTTTTACTGTCATCTTCCATAGCGGGCGAGCAGCATCTCTGACCTGGGGTTTGTCACCCTACAGATCCCACCTCATGGTCCCCTTCAACCGGCCACCGCAGCAGCTGGTTCTCTGACTGCAACACTTCACCCCCTCCTCACCCCCAAACTGTCTTCCCTGTGGGCTTTGGAACCAGGAATTAAGTTACCTCCACGGAGCCTGCTCAGCTCACTGGAAACGGGAATGAGACAGGTCTACTGCCAAGATCAGTCATTCCACGTTGCGGATTAGCTTCCTGAATTGCTATAGACGCATTATCAATAGCTGGGCCAATGTCTATTCCCTGCTACTAAGCAGCGCCGGCTCTAGGGTTTTGGCCGCCCCAAGCAGCCAAAAAAAAGCCGCAATCGCGATCTGCAGCGGCAATTCGGCGGGAGGTCCTTCGCTCCGAGGCGGAGTGAGGGACCGGCCGCCGAATTGCCGCCGAATACCTGGACGTGCCGCCCCTCTCCGGAGCGGCCGCCCCAAGCACCTGCTTGACAAGCTGGTGCCTGGAGCCGGCCCTGCTACTAAGTCTGTGGGGTCACTTGTACCGCTCTCCTTAGGAGATCTCATTGTCTAGGTAAGCGATCAGTTAACCTGTGCGCCGAGTTTGTATTGTTCTCGAAAGCCTGAGATCCAAATAAAGATGGCCCCAGGCAATGATCCAGGCAGTCTCTCTTTGTAAACCCAGATGCTGCACTGGCAGGTTATGGAAGTACTGAGAGGTAAATAGGAACAATCAAGTATTTGTAGGTACACTAGAATCTTGGAAGAGCCACGACTGTAAAGCGACTCTCACTCCTTTCACGTGCTGCAAGTTTCCACAGCCCCTTCACAGGGCTTTCCACCCAGAGAATGAATAATGCCACTGCCTGCACTCCATGGTGCAAACGGCACAAGAACAAAGCCTTCATTTAAAGAGACTGCTACACAGGAAGAGGATCTTGCATCTTCCAGAGCTAGCCAGCGTTAAAGGGACACAGAATTTACCCCTTGATTTTTAATACTGCGATCCCCTCAGATGAGGGGCTGTAGATGCAAAACGCATCATTTGAGCATGCAATTGTGGCAACCGAATGCTCAAATGAGTAACTCTGGGCCCTGAGCATCTGCTCAAGTGGCACACAAAGGGATTACTTTCAGAGATGCTAAGCATCCACATTCTCTGCTATCAGTTTCAACTGGAATTCTGCGTATCCAGCACTTCTGAAAATCAGGCCGAAAGGCGTCGGGAGTCCTGGCACCAGGTGGTTTTAAGAAAACATCTTTCTTTGCTGGCGTTCTCATTTTAGAAATTAAAAAATGTCAACATTTTTTGAAATTTTACCCTTCAATTTTTGCTCTTCTTCGTTTAGTGCCCAGAAACAAATGGGCTAATGAATTCTACTCGGATTATCACAGGCTGTGCAGCAACTCGAGGCTTGCTGAAGTTTGGGAAAATGTCTTCCATTATCTTTTTGGAAAGATCGCAGAAGCATATCCATCAACAGTAGGAGCTGCAAAATTTAACTCCCGACAGCGTCCACTTAACGAGTGCTACCTCCCTAGAAGAGTTAGTACCAAGTTTAACAGAGTTTATTTGGGCTACATTCAGAACCGAAGAGCAAGATCTGCAAGCGGAAGAGCCCTTAAAATGAACTCAAACCATGTTTGGTTTATACTGATGATTGGCCAAAAAGATCCATCCCATCCCTTGAGAATTAGGCTCGTTTGGTCATTCCCCACCCTTGTGAGTAAAAAGAGGCCAAGCAGATTTAGATCATTTTTAAAAAGAATAAACGTTTGCATCTGGCAACACTGGAGCCAAATTTCACCCCAGCACAGAGACTTGAGGATAAACTCTGGCAGACCTTTCGCAAGAGCTCTGCTGCGATCCTTGCTGCTCGTTCGGGACGGGTTTTTGTTTAAATGTAAAGACAAGAACGTGCAGAGTCCAGCAAGAGCCGAAACTCAGACATCAATTCATTGCCCTGTCAGTTACTCATCCATGTTGCCTTTCCCCATTTATAAGCCGAGGCGTCTGCAGAGCCTACGCTAATCTCAGCCTAGCAGGCTGTCTATTTTCTCCACCAGTGCAACCATTCCCATGGTAACCGATTGATAGGCAAGCTATACAGCTGGGTACAAAAGGGACAGCTTTGGAAACCACAGAGCCAGGATAGAGATTCCCAGAGGGGAGTAGGAATGAAACTGCATCTTGGGCAAAGTGATTGAACCAGATGGAGAAAATTAAACGGGGGGGTTCGGCCTTTTAAATACCCTTTGGCTGTTTCCACGGAGTGGCACGTACAGGGCACAGACTGGAATTTCGATTCAGTTCAAATAGCCCAAGACCTTTTACGCTGAAATCTGGGCTGCTTGGACAGCCTCACAAGGCAGAGCCGTTAAAGATTTCACGGCTGGCCTTCCAAGCCCCGTAACGAGCGCTTTAAAGCAGGGCTCCGTGGTGGACAGTGGCTCCAACACCTGCCTCATGGCCCAAAACGAGCAAGGCCCAGTCAGTGGCTACTGCCTCACGTTACTCCTGGGTAAGCTGGCTCAGTCTGCACTGCCGCTGCAGAGTTACTGGCTCTGCAAACGCAACCTAGGATCTGAGAGGCCCATGCCGAGCTCTTTCTGATTCGCACATCACCACCAGCAAGACTGGCAGGCCCGTGGTTTCCCCAATGCATGTGAGGTTAAAACGGGGCGCTGGTGCTGGAACTCCCTAGGAGGGTTTTTTTTTTGGGGGGGGGGGGGGGGGAGAAGAGGGCGTTTGGATGATGCACAAAGCAGAACACAGCCCAGCTCCCTCAGAACTGCGCTGACCCTGCAGCACAGCCAGCAGCAAGGGGCCGTAATTGTCACTGAGTCAACAGGACACAGGTCTGGCGATGCTGGGGGCGGAGCTGCACAAAGCAGCCTGGGTCCTGTGCCGGCTCTAAGCACCACCTCCGGACAGGCCCTATCTGAGCCATGGCCGGGCCCGGATGGATTGCCGGGTCAGCGAATCAGGGGAAGAGCCATGGCAGGGCCCGGATGGAATGCCGGGTCAGCGAATCAGGGCAATGCACAATTAAATCCTAGGAGCACCCCCTGCTACAGTTAAGCCTGAACTCCCCAGACCAGCGTGAAAGAGGAAGGCAGCAGTGAGTACTTAGTGCTGTCGAATCCGGGTCGGCCCGGGAGGATGAAGCTGCGGGTCTCCTCCAAGCGCGAATAGCCATCCTTCTGGTCGACGTCCCACAGGTGCAGGGTGTTGTCATCCAGCAAGGACAGCAGCCGACCCTGGGAGAGAGACCGACGCGGAAGGAAACAAAGGATGTCACAGGATTACGATTAAAGTCTCCCCCCTCCACAACAAGGCCCCTGCTGCGGCAGTGAGCACGCTGGACTTGGCCACACCAGCCCACGCATCTCAATCAGGACACTGGGGTGCAGGTACCTTTACACACCATCCCAATGGCATCCACTTCCTGGCCTGTTGGCCGTACCCACCCACCCCTAAGCAGTTGCTAAAAAGTCTTCCCAGGCCCTGCCCAGTAGAGCTATCAGAAAGGGGCAGAGGTTTTTATAAGACAGGAGGTCCCAGTAGGGGGATCAGCAGGCCAGGAGGAGTCCACGGGGGTTGGAGACATTAGCCTGCCGCCTTTCTTGCCAGAGAATGACCAGGAGTCTGGCTAGGTCAGAGGATGGGCTGCTGCACCCTGGTGACAGCGGGACATGGGTTACTCTCCCCCAGAGGCACCGGCACCTGCCTGAAGGGAGACGCGAGGTGACGAGAACCGGAAGCAGCAACGTACCTGTCCAGGCAAAAAGTGTATCTGCGTGACGGCAGCAGTCTCCTTGTGCAAGCCAGTGAACTCCACTCCTGGAGCGCCGTATCTGGCATGGGCGGAGAGTCAAGGAGGCAACGAGGGGACAGAGACAGCCCTGAACCGACCCCCCTGCCCTCCCCTCCAAAACCAACTCTGCCACCACCTGGGGAACTCTGCCTTTTAGCACACCAGCAAGTAAGACCAAGGCTAAGAACTGGGAACTAAACACTTAAGATCCAGCTATGTCCATTTTGGTGGCATCTTGCTTGCCACCCAGGTATCCACGCACCTACGCTGGTACCTCGCCAGGAGATTTTAAAAGCCTGGCATTGCCATTCTGCGGCCAGGCATTCCGCCGGACTGCTCAGCAAGAAGCCAACCTCCCCCAAAGTACCTGAATGAGGCATCAAGGTTTATGTGGTCCTCAGACACCTCCAGAGAGTTTCACACCATCGTCTGCCTGCCCGGTCTAGGCACACCTACTCCTGCCTCAGCCCAGCACAGCTGGACTGCGCAACACACACCAGGGGTGGCGCCCACGGGAAGATGGGTCCCAGCAACCCTTGTGTTTGGGAGCTCAACGGGCAGCAGAAGAGGGACTGGTTATTCCATTATACCCAGCAGCGGATGTACTGGGGGGGGGGGAAGGGGAGGAGAGGGGTTTAGGAACTACCTGCGCTTTCCACACCTGGGTTGCGTAGAGCCATACAGGACAGGGTTAGACTTGTGAAAGCAACACACCAGCTCCCACAGCTGATCCACTCCAGTGCCTCCGTCCAGGATGCTCAGAAAGAACTCTAGGGTCTGTCTACACTGCAATTAAACATCTGCGGCTGGCCCGTGCCGACTGGCTCAGCCTCGCAGGGGTTAACTAACAGTGGTGTTGATGTTTGGGGTCAGGCTGGAGCCCAGGCTCTGGGACCCCACAAGATGGGAGGGTCCCAGAGCTCAGACTGCAGCCCGAGCCCAAACATCTACATAGAGGTGTCTAACTGCATGTCGGGGGGGGGGGGGGGGGGGGAAGAGCACACAGAGTGGCTGCAGTAAGAGCATGTGGGTGGGATGCAAGGCCCCCCGCACCCTGCCTGTTTAGCCGCGACACAGCAATGAAGCCAAAGGTGGTCATTCTTTCGGCAGGATTAGAGTGCAGCAATTCCTGAGCCCTTCGCACAAAGTCCCCTGGTAAGTCCGGCTCAAGCAACGTCCCACACTGCAGCCGACGGCCTGTGGCGTCCATATTGGCTCTGTGAGCACACAGCAGACCCAGCCTGCTGCAGGGAGTCAGGCTGGCAGGAGGGGGTTCTTGGGGCAACCACAGATCAAGGTCGGCAGACAACAGCTGATGCAGTCTGGCAAGGTGGCAGTTCCACCCCACTGTCCTGGTCATGGCTAGGCGGGGCAGGGGCTGCCCACCCCCACCCGGGAGCATGTTTACCTGCTGCAGACAGGCAGAATAGGGCTGCCCAAGGACAGGGGTTCATGCTCTGAGTTGGTCTGGGCTGGGTGAGTCTAGACAGCACTGTCATGCCCCAGACACCCCGCACTTTGGCACAGCCAGCAGCTGTTCTGGCAGCTTGCCAGGCACCCCAGGGCTGTTCTTCATTTGCATAAGGCAGAGCTGGTTTCCCCAGCCCTGATCTTTAGAGAGGCTGCTCATGTCAAGGCCTGCAGCCTTCCCATGGTCCCCTCTCCAGAGCAAGAGGACCGCCAAGGTCTGCACTGGAGAGCTCTGCTTTCCACAGCCAGCCATCTGCAGAGGTTGAGTTCACACACGAGTCTGACTGTAGAGGTGCACGACTGTTTGCATCCTGCACCCTCAGCCCCACCGCTTCACAGCAGCCAGCACGAGTGCTCTACCTTTCTCCTCCGGGATCTGCACCTGCTAGAACAGGACCTTAATTTGTCTCGCTACAGCCAAGGGAGGAAGCCCCTTTAACATCCCTGGGGACGACAGGCACCTGGAACTCAACGAGCACTCCTCAGAGGGCTCACTAGCTCAAAAGCCAGCGTGCTGGGGAACTGTACATATCCAGGTGGGATGGGGTTGGGGCAGATGCCTCCGCAGCCACAGGTTTGTCATCAGTCTGCCAGGGAGGCCCCACCCGGCTGTCTCTGCACCTTGCGAGAGGTTAATAGGGTGGAGATCAGCTCATGGGCCCACAGCGCTGCATTCTCCATCCTCGAGTGTTTATTCTTGCAACATCCAACTTGCTAGTAAAATCCACCCAGCTGGCAACTCGGGAGACCAGAGTTAGCTAGCCCGAGCAGGCACCAGGACTGGAAGCTATGCCAGATAGGCCATGCTGCCCTGGTACGCCTCTAGACGGACCAGCTCTCTGGACAAGTGAGTATTTCAGCCTTTAGGTCCATTCAGTCCTTACCTGCACTGCCAACAAAGTGCCAGCTGCCCGACAGTCACAGACCCGCCCGCTCACTGGGGTGGGTTTGGATAAGTCGACCCCTGCCTCAGGTAGGCTAAGACGGAGTCTCTCGGGGAGACTGTCCCATTGCTCACAATGGATCTCCCAGGAGCACTGCAAGTGGCTTAGGGATAGAGAAAGTTGCATTGAGAATGTGCTCCCCCCTCCCCCTTCTAACGAAGGCGAAGTGCACTGGCAGAGCCCCAGGACATCTGGGTTCTGCTGGTCTCCATCACATTCTTCTGGAGCCCCCCGTCACAGCTGGCTGAGTGCCACAATCCCACCAAGACGTTTCCTGGGTCTCGCCAGTACCTCAGCTCCTGGAAAGGAACAGGCTGCCCCCTCGCTACCCAGCAAGAAGCAGGACCGGAAGCCATCGCTGTGCTTTGTATTCATGACAAGACACCAGGCTGCGAGGACAAACGTCCACCCTCCCGGCGGGCGGGGAGGAGCGTAGGGGTCAGCAAGAATTCTGCACTGCAGCCCGGGGGCAGGACTGGGAATGGAACCCGGACGGCTCAGCCCCACGCGGCCAAACCTTCCTCCTCGTCTGCAAAATCGGCTTCCAGCCTCATTGCCGGGGGGCTACCGGCAGGGTTATTTCATAGTTAAGCTGGGGCCCTGTTGAACCATGGCCTGCTGCAGGAGGCAGTGGCCTCCAGGCTGTTTTCCTGGACGGATAGTTCGTGCGAAAGCACCTCCCAGGCGGTGCAGTCAGTCCTTCGGGGGAGACCTTCCACTGAGTCCTCTCCTGGGCCTTTGGGGATTGGCGGGAGGAGACAGCAGCGGGAAGGCCGCGCAGGTGAGTCAGCGCAGACAAGCAAACCTGGAGAATCCATGCGACTGGGATGCCCGATTCACAAGCCCTGCTCCCCCCGTCGCTGCCGCTCTTCCTAGCAGGCAGGCATCGCGCTGAGCCTGTTTTTCAAGCAAATAATTCACAGATCCCAGAAAGACATCCACTCTTGATTTAAAAGTTGCCTGTGATGGAGAATCCATCCTGACCGCTGGAAAATTCATTCCAATGGTTAATTACCCGTCATTAAAAATTTACATCTTATTTCCAGGCTGAATTTGTCTAGCTTCAACTTCCCGCCATTGGAGCCCGTTATACCTTTCTCGGCTAGACTGACAAGCCCATTGGCAAATATTTTCCTCCCCTATCAAGTCACCCCTTAACCTTCTCTTTGTTAAGCTAACCAGACCGAACTCCTTGAGACTATCACCGTAAGACATGCTTTCTAACCCGTTAATCGTGCCCACAGCTCTTCTCTGAACAATGCATCAGCATCAGTCTTGAATTGCAGGCACCAAAACTGGACACAGGATTCCAGCCGCAGCTGCGCCAGTGCCCAATACAGAGGTAAAATAACCTCTTCTCCGACTCGAGATTCCCGTTTACATATCCAAGGATTGCACTGGCCCCTTTTTGCCCCAGCGTCGCACTGGGAGCTCACGTTCAGCTGATTATCCACCACGACCCCCAAATCTTTCAGTCACTGCTTCCCAGAACAGAGCCCCCCTCCCCATCCTGTAAGCACGACCTACATTCTTTGTTCCTAGATGTACACATTTAGCCCT